CCCAGATCCTTCTCTCTATTTGATTCTTGCAGGATTTCCCCTCCCAGATGATACCTTGTGTTCAGCCTCCTGCTCCCTTCGCCTAATTTCATCACCTTACACTTTCCAGAGTTGAACTTCAGCAGCCATTTTCTAGACCATTCCTCCAGTTTATCCAGGTCATCCTGTAGTCTCTGTCTATCTTCATCCGTCTTGATTCTTCTCATAAATTTTGCATCATCAGCAAACATCGAGAGGAATGAGTCTATACCCTCTGGAAAGATCGTTCACATATATTTAGAAACAGGATGGGTCCAAGTACTGAGCCCTGTGGGACTCCGCTGGTGACATCTCGCCACTCCGATGTCTTCCCCCTCACCGTTACTCGCTGTTTCCTGTTGCTTAAGTACTCCCTTATCCACTGGAGCACCTTCCCTTTTACTCCTGCCTGTTGCTCCAACTTTTTTAACAGCCTTTTATGGGGTACTGTGTCAAAGGTTTTTTGGCAATCCAGGAAAATGCAGTCGGCCCACCCTTCTCTTTCCTGCCTAATTTTCGTTGCCTGGTCATAAAATTCTATTAAACCTGTGAGGCACGATTTACCATCTCTGAACCCATGTTGGTGGTGCGTTACAAAGTTATTTCCCTCCAGATTTGGTTGTGTGTGTGTGTGTGTGTGTGTGTGTGTGTGTGTGTGTGTGTGTGTGTGTGTGTGTGTGTGTGTGTGTGGGTGTGTGTGTGGGTGTATACTCACCTAGTTGTGCTTGTGTGAGGGGTTGAGCTTTGGCTCTCTGGTTCCGCCTCTCAACTGTCAGTCAAGCGGTGTACAGATTCCTGAGCCTAAGAATAAATTTCCGTAGAACTGAAAGCTGGTTTGGTTATCAAGCTACTCCCTGAGGTAAATAGCAGACGGCGGGAGAGGGGGGGGGGCGGAGAAGAGATGACCCAATCCATTGACTTGCTCGATGCAGTAATGTTTAACTTGACGGGCTGACGCTAACGACACCTCCCCCTTCCTGTTGCCCGAAGCTGTTGCAAACCTTCAGACAGAGATCAAATGAAACAAACATGACAAAACACATTTATTCCCGCATCCCCCCTCCCCCCAGGCCACCCCAAGAGATATTATGATAACATATCCCCCCCCCCCCTCCCTCAGGGGATAGGTTACCATAATATTAAGTTATATTATGATTTTCGGACCAAGTACGCGTTTTTGTCTTGCAAGCATGTCGTTTGACCTGACCTTACCTGACCTGACCTGACGGTGCAGAAGAAAATCTGAAGTTTGTCTTACAAATTATAAATCACTCGACGGAGAAGCGATCACCGTCTCGGATGTGTGTGTGTGTGCTTACCTAATTGTACTCACCTAGTTGTGCTTGCGGGGGTTGAGCTCTGGCTCTTTGGTCCCGCCTCTCAACTGTACACCAATAGTTGGTCCCGTACACCAACTAATGTACAGGTTCCTAAGCCAACTAGTCTCTATCATGTCTACACTTGAAGCTGTGTATGGAGTCAGCCTCCACCACATCACTTCCTAATGTATTCCATTTGTCTACTACTCTGAGACTGAAAAAATCTTTCTAACGTCTCTATGGCTCATTTGGGCACTCAAATTCCACCTGTGTCCCCTAGTGCGTGTACCCCTTGTGGTAAATATTCTATCGTTAATCTACCCCTATCAATTCTTCTGAGAATCTTGTATGTGGTGATCATGTCTCTTCTAACTTTTCTGTCTCCCATTTGACGTGAGGTTTAATTCCCGTAGTCTCTACTCGTACCTAATACCGCTCAGCTCGGGTACTAGTCTGGTGGCAAACCTTTGAACCTTTTCCAGTTTAGTCTTATGTTTGACTAGATATGGACTCCATGCAGGAGCCGCATACTCCAGGATTGTTCTGATATATGTGGTATACAAAGATCTGAAAGATTCTTTACACAAGTTTCTGAAGACCGTTCTATGTTAGCCAACCTGGCATATGCCGCTGACGTTATCATCTTGATATGAGCTTCAGGGGACAGATCTGGCGTGATATCAACCCCCAGGTCTTTCTTTCTCTCAGACTCTTCAATTATTTCGACTTCCAAATGATACCTTGTATCTGGTCTGCTCCCTACACCTATCTTCATTACATTGCATTTGCTTGGGTTAACTCTAACAACCATTTGTTTGACCAATCCGGCAGCTTGTTCAGGTCGTCTTGAAGACTCAAGCAGTCCTCCACCTCTGTCTTAATCCTTCACATGATTTTGACGTCGTCAGCAAACATTGAGAGGAATGAGTCTATACCCTCTGGGAGATCATTTACGTATATCAGAAGCAGGATAAGTCCGAGTACAGAGCCCTGTGAGACTCCACTGGTGACTTCACGCCAATCCGAAGACTCACCCTTCACTGTAACTCTTTGCTTCCTATTGCTTAGGAAGCAAAGCAGTTATCCACTGGATAACTCCCTTATCCAGTGGATAAGGGAGTTATCTGTTACTCCTGCCTCTTTCTCCAGCTTATGCATCAGCC